CTAATATTTTGGCTTTTTAGAAGACTTTGGAATTGCTAGCTCTGTATTTCTTTATGCACAAATAGAAGGTAAACATGTTGAGCTACTATTCTAGTAAAAGCAATTGACTTGCACCTTCCTAGCTACATCCTCTGATTCTGGTCCCTTGCTATGAAACTTGTTAATGCTTAAGAATTTGACTAACTTTGGGCAGGAAGACTGTTTCTATATTCTAACCAATGTTCTATATTCTTTAATTTAACTAATATTCATAGACACCTACTGACAGATACACATTTATACTTCTCGTACAGTACCTGGAATATGATCATTTTTTATTAATGCCAAATGTTAAAAGAAAATACTAATCATTGTGAGAAACAAAGATAAATCTTTGAGAACAAAACTTCAGCGTACTAGCTTGTTTAATCTTCTGGATATGTGACATTTATTTGTTCTATACATGAATTCATAATGAAAGATTAATCAAGATTGGTAATTCTATAAATCACCTGTAGGAGAATGATACATTTCTATACTTAACAATAAATACTTTATTTTTGTTAGTAACATTTCTATGTATATTTTAATGACCTAATAAATATGACATTCAAATGTAGCGAATGTTCCCACTAGTTAGTCCAAATTACACTGTATAAAGATTTCCAAATCATTAGGAAATCATATGGAAGTGAGATGTTTTTATATATGCATGCATATAAATATGTACATTTAATGTAGTTATAAAATCAGTTGCTATACCCAAACTTGCTGGCCCATATTTTCTTAGCTCCAATCAGACTTAATGGGCATATACTCAAGGCTCAGTGTCACTGTGGGATCAGCCGCACGTGATTATGTGTGGGATCAGCATGATCGGCTGTCACTGGTTTCACTGACATCTGTCCCCACAGTGAGACAAGCTGCAACATGAATTATTGAAGACACACACATGCAGATCTGTGTCATGATTACGCCAAATAATACATGTTGCCACACTCTTGAGAGCTGAAAGGAATCATGGCTGACATTGTCTTTAACCATTTTTGACAATCTGCTGCTGTGTTACAGATTTGAAAAAGAAACGACACTATTACACTTTGTGATCTGCTTTTGTGTCAGGTAAAAAAACACCAAAAACATCTTCTCTCCACCAGAATTTTTATCTGCTCTCATTAGCAGATATTTGCCAAATGATTTGAAAATGCTCATTTTCTTAAACCTTTCTGTTTCATCAGATGATTAATATCCTGTTAAATGACAAAAACAGAATTAGTCTTCTCGTTTGCAAAATGATTTCAGTTTGACAGATTAGTGGGTGTTACTTTACTAAAAGAGTGTCTCTAATTGGAGGAGATTGAAGCTGCTTACAAAAAATAATAAGCGTTTGCATCAACAATCTTTTTTAAAGTTATGGCAGAATTTAAACAACAGCTTGGGTGATATTCTTATCAAACAGGAAATACCCTCCAGAGTAACAACTCAAGGGTCCATCATTTGAATATATATATATATTTTTAAAGATTTTTATTGTGGAATTGGGGGGATGGGAACACTGCTGGGGAATTGGGGGAAGGGGAACAGACAAGTTGTCGTTTTTTTGTTCTTCAGTCTAGTTGTGGAGGACGTTGCTTCACTGGCCCAAGTTGGCACCGTCATTGTACTCTTCCCGGGCAAGGCAGATCAGTTGCTGGCTTCTGGACGGCCACTCACTGTGGCTGCTGGCTACATATGGTAGCCCATGGCAACCCACTGCCACAGGGGCTGCAGCCTATGCTGTCGCCAGTGACTCACAGCAGCCCAGCTCCAGGCTGAGCTGTTGTTCAGCATCTTAGCTGTGGAGGGCAGTGTCACTGGCCCTCATATGTGGGATCCGAACCGGGGCCCTCTGGCATCCCAAGCCAGTTCTTAACCATCGCACCACTCGGCCGGCCCCATTTGAATATTTTGAACTACTCTCAAGCAGTGCTCTTATAATGCAACCCCAAAACTTCACAAAAGTGTAGCTAACAGTCAGTTTTAACTATTATATATTTTTATAATTTTATGTTTATTATTAAGGGTTGAATTATATATATATATATATATATAAATAAATAAATTCTGGGGAAAATTATATTAATATATTACTAACAATGTTACAGTTTAATTGAACAATTCAAATATAATCCATGAAGTTATATTTGAATAAGTTGCTTTGCCTGTCTTAGTTTTATTCTGCTATTAAATGGCGTAACAGTTTCATACTTACCTGTCCTGCAGGGCTGCAGAATAAACCAGTAGATATAAAAATGCTTAACAAATTCAGAACGCTACTATTCGATATCCAAATAGCTGTTTCATAAACTAATAGCTGTTATAATGACATTCCTTCAAATATTTGCATTTTGATAAGGGGATCTAGGAAATTTCCCAGTAATTTTAGCTACCCTGTCTTATTTCCCACTCCATTCTTATTACTATTTGTAAGGTGATTGCCAAACACTCAGGAACTAAATGGTGTCTGTGGCTCTTAGAAACCCATTTTTGGCAAGGCACTTGGAAGAATAGAGTTGGACTCTCCAGTCTAAAAGATTTGGGTTTTCCAAATTCAGAGTCCCTTTTTGTCATGCAACCCACTGCAGATGCAGGTTATCACCTGGCCCTTTTTGCATGGCCTATGGGAACTGGGGCTCAGAACAAATGCTGATTCTCTGGCTATTGCTATTGCTGTGGGTAATAGACTGTCCTTTGTTTTTGACCCAAGAGTCTTATGTTTTTTGCCAGCATTCATGAAATTGTAGTGGGTTGACTCGTTAGAGTCCAAGAACAGGCTCTTCACAGTTCATATATCCAGAAAAATCTCCCTCTGTGTCCCTATCCTGGAGTAGTTACCACTTTCATGATGAGAGATTTGGCGTTGGAGTAGGGGTGGTGACTTTGAATGAAGGAATTATAAGGTAAGAAAGAATGAGTAGAGAGGAGTCTAAATTTACTACTCACTCCTGCCAGTGGCTAGGCTGTCAATTCAGGAAGGTTTAAATGTAGTGCAAACCTGGTGTTATTGGTTATAGTTTCTGTGGACAGATATGGATAATAAATTCCTCATTCTTTACCTTTCATCTGTCTTCATCCACCACACAGCAAATGCCTTCTGACCATTAACCAAAAGAGCTCCACTATGGTTTGTAGCCATTGCCAGAAAAATTGCTTGTTTCCTTCCTGACCTGCTCCACATCTCTCATCCAACTCCTAGATCTTGATATTATTATCTGGTTAATGCCCTGTTTCTTCATTTAAACCTGGTGTTTTTCTGGCTATGAACATCAGCATACTTTGGTTAAGAGGTGTCCTTTCTTTCTTGGATAATATGGTACACAATTGTTTGATAGCTAGTATATATTTCTCGTTTTTGTTGTTGGTGGTGGTAAAAATAGCACAAACCCTTTGGACAGCACATTCTCCCCCCACTCTCAGCCACACACTTGGGTCAGGTTCATTCCATTCCAAGCTCCAGGAGTAGGCCGTGATTGGCTAATCAGCATATTTTACCCCCCTCTATACAGTGATTTCAAGATGGACATGTAACTTAACCAACCGATCTCAGGTATTTTGCTGGTTCCACTGAGTCAGATCTTGATGGAGCTGAACAAGGAAGTGTAGTTCTGATTGCTGCCACAGTCATAAATAAGCCTTAGAAGATAGAAGAGGCAAATAGAGCACGAGAGAAACAGGTTTCTGGTCGCATAATTTTCCATGCTGGATCAAGAATTATTAACTGATGCTATTGACTTAGCATTCAAGCAATACTATAAGTTTTCTTCTGTTTTCTGTTACAAGCAAAGGGAAATATCTTAATTAATAGATAATATATACAGCCCTGAATTCAGTCCTGTAGGACTCAACTCTTGGTATAGGCCCAGCTGTTGTTCTGGTTCAGCCCATGCAGCTCCTTCTAAAGTGATGTTTAGAATATTCTGGAGAAAGATTTTTTTTTTATTGGAAATCGGAAAATAGTATAGGTAAAAACCATTATTTAGGAATGCAAGTTGATTCAGTAAATTTGTGTTGCCTCTGCTTGGCTTGAGTGAAATTTTGGAGCCAATAAAGTTGGTCCTATGGATTTAGCATCTTTTTTATGTATCTTCTTTGTCTATCAGAACTCTGGAAACTTTGTTTCCTTATATCCTGCTTAGTTGCCAGGAACTTTGCACTCTTTCTAGACCCCTGACCAATCTAGTTCTTAAAAATTTCATTCTACTCGGGACATGGAGTAGAGAGCGGGAACGGATTCAATGGAATTGTAATAGATAAGCATGATATCGGGGGTGGGAGGGCAATAGATGGGGGGGTTGTTACCTGGTGAGGGTGAAAAGGGTAACTATTGTATTGTTCTGTGCACCTGAAACTAACAATAAAAGAAAAATTAAAAAAAAATTTCATTCTCACTAAAGCATTGGTTCCTATGTGTGTGTGTGTGTGTGTGTGTGTGTGTACTCCCTTAAGAATATGTTGAATTGGAGTCCTTTTTCTCCAATTAATCACACAAAGGCATTTAAACAAAATTTTGCATATAGTTTAAAAGAGTTTATTATTCCCCTAAATCATGTCTATAGTTCATGTGTCTGAAGTTAGGAGCCCATTCACAAAAAGTTAAAAATGACAGGTAATAGCTTTAGGTGTTAAACCCGTCTCAAAATATTGTTATTTAAACAACAGTTATAATCTTAAACAATTTTAATTGTGTAACTTTATACATTATCCAGTGGTAGTATAAGATAATTTGGATGGAGGCATCTTCTATCTTCCCTGAAACTTCACTGGGTAAGGCTTTACCTAGTGACCTAGTATATGAAACTGGGAATTAATGGAAATCAGGGAGCTGGTTCCTAGTCATTATATTAGGATAATAATTTTCTGTAATGATGTAGTAATATGTTAATGTATTATGTTAATAATGTAATAATGCTGACTCTGTAGCAAGCAGATTTGACAGCTGTCCATATGAAGTGATTTTCACATTATGCTCCGTTATTCCCCAGGCTAGTGAGCTACCAGAATAAACATGGAAGGAGGTAAGTTTCCTTTCAAACTCAGAGTTGAAGGCACACAGTTAAGTAAATGAAAAAAATCATGATGCACTTCATGGTAGTTGACTGGGATGTGTAAATTACCAAGATTGTATGGGAATAAAGTTGTTTTGTGCCAGGATAAAAGAAAACATGTAAGATCTAGCTTACTCCATATATCTCATAATCCAGGGTATGCATGTTACTATAAAATTCCATTTAGAGCCTATCATATATACCATACTTTAAATATTACTTGCACACAGCTGCAGTTTATTCTGCTCCTGAATTTTGAAGCAATTTGAGCTACCTTTGGATTTCTGAGGACAGAGTAGGGAAACTGGGGAGGGAGAAATCTTTATAAAGAATTCATGGTCTCATTTATAAGGTGATTGAGTGAGAGAAAATCATTTTTCAAAAAATCTGTGGTCCTCTGTTCTAAGTCAATTATAAAAGATATATGGAAAATACTTGCATTGTTTGTAGTTGATATACTTATGTCATCATGTCATTCCCCCCCTATTAACTTATTTATGAGTATGCAAATTTTATGTAAAATTAGGAGACTCCCCGAGGGTATAACATTCTACTGTCAGCAAGATATTCCAAAAACAGATGTTTTAATAATATAGTCTTTAGGATTTGATGAGGGAATTATGAAGTTCTATGTGAAGTCAGTTTTTTGTAATTTGAAAAATTTCAAAAGCATATTGATGCAGCCTTCCTTAGAATAGATGTAAAACCCCTTTTACTAGTAGCAAGAAGACAGATTTAGTATTGCCAAAAAAATAAAAATAAAATAATAATAATAATGATAATAATAATAAAAAAGATGTGCCGCCTCGAAGGACTTTTCAGAATTCAGAAAATTCTTTCCTTTTACAACTATGATTATAATCCAAACTTTTGGGTGTTCTGTATAAAAAGCCCACACTAATTTGTGAGACTGGATTATTTATTAAAATATACTCTAAATGATAATATAGTATAGCTTATATAAGGAAAGTTAAAATTACAGATTCTTTACCATTTTCAGAGATTGAAAGCCTTTATATGATCACCATAAGTGTAACTATGGAATAAAATAATTTCTTCTAAGTGGAACAGAAAAGCCCACGGATTTGATATCTCTTTATTTAGATCTCATTTAATTATAAAACTAAACAAAATGCTTTTCTCATTTCATCTTTCAGAAATGTGTGAATTAGTGGCTTGACATATGGCACATCAGGCATGAGAGGTAGTAGCCACTTTGCCTCCTATCCCCTTTTCCCACACACCCATCCCCTACTTCTCCAGCTAATTTCTTAAATCTGTAGAAATATGTTTGTTCCACAAAGAGAGTTAGGTCAAATATACCAAAGTTGCTAACTTTATGAGCTTCTCCAACAGTAAATATTATATACAGTTGCATTCGTATCATTTGTAGCCATAAATTGAAGAGTCTTCTAAACAGCCAAAGCACAGTAGGCCTATGAGAAGAACCTGTTTTCCTAATGATATATGATGGTTTTCTTTAAAAGGTGGGTTTTTGGCTCTCAATCCCAATTTGCATGCTGCTTTGCATATATTTACATATGACATTCCCAGGCCCCTAATTCCAAATATGCAAAATTAAATAAAATTAATTAAATAGGGTAAGTGACTCCAGTTGAATTCCAACTCGATGGGAAGGGCACAAAATACATAACAGATTTAAAAACCAATCATTCTAATTGCATCACAGATGAAGAGCCAGTAACCCTGAAGCTGAAGATGGCTATGCGTCAACTCTTCTGGGCAGAGGGCTTGCCAGGGACTCCTGTGGCATATTCTGCCCTGCTGGCTCTCCTAGTCCCATCTATTAGAGGTCACATCACCAGCATTATAATCATTGTTCTACATTTTTATATTTGTACCTCTACATACATGATCTCTTCCAATTTTCATATCAACCCTCTGAGGAAAGCAAGAGGAAGTTATTTTCCTTAATTCAGAAATGCAGAACCTGAGGGCAAGAGAGATTAAATGATTTCCCCAGAATCAAATTTATAGCATGCAGCAGCATTGGGGTCAGGAGGAAGTGGGATAGTCCACTCTACATTTAATGTTCTTTTCTCTACTCTAAGGTGCTTCCCATTATCTCCTGCACTCTACCTTTTAAAATAAGATTATAGCTGATCAGTTTTGCAAATTTATTACTGCTATCCTCCAGCTCTTCTGGGGCTCCCTTATTTAACCTTTTTTCTCTGTCACTTTAGATTCTTAATGTTTTAATTGTTTCTCCATTTCACTTCTTGTTTTAAGGAAAATATCTTATGAACTCATTTTTGCTCCGGTGTTTATGATTTAAAGTATTACAAAATAATCTCACTTCAGCAAATGTAATGAAGACCTATTTATGAATTTATTGGGAATCTATTATTTGGTAGGCATGTCTCTATATAATGGGTACAACAGCACAGAACAGAAGAGTTAAAATACATTGCCCTCATGGAACTTAAATTTTAGGGTTGGGGGAAGTGGCGAAAGGCAATAAATAAATTATAAAATATATTAAGTGATTATAAATGCTATGGGAAACATGGAAAGAAAAAAGAAGTTAGAGAGCACCTCTCTTCTTTGGTTGGGATTGGTTCAATTTTAAAAAAGAATTCAAGTAAGGCCTTAATGAGATAGTGACATTTGAGCAATGACATTAGGAGGTAGGAAGTGAACTCTACAGAGATCTGGGAGAAGAATATTCCAGTCAGATGGAAGAGCCACCATACAGTTTCTGAAACATGAGTATAATTAGCATATTCAAAGTACAGCAAGCAAGGCCATCATCACCATTGAGAGCACTTGAGTTGTTACTCTGAATGAGATGGAAAACCATTGGAGAATTGAATAAAGAAATGTCATGATTTGTCTCACCATTTGTTGTAGATTGAAATTGAAAAACCTGGCCACAATATGTTATAGGTCCTCCTGGTAAGACGTGTAATCTTATATCGGTCAGGATCCACCCAATCGGGAAAGAGAAACCACACTGGTTACTTGAGAGAATTGTATATAGATGTGTTTATACTCAAGTATAAAAGTGTAAACTAGGTCACTGAAAGGGTGAAAAACAGAATTCTAAGTTCTTACTGAGAAAGGAAGCAGCTGTGTCCCTTAGGACTGGGGGAAAGGGAAAGGTTGGAATATTTCAACTTAACATCAAAGTTAGAGGAGGTGGGTGTAGTATGGAGCTGAAAAAAATAAGACCTCTGAGGAGAGAATACTGGCCAGCTTTGGTTGGTGTCTCTGAGGGATCCTGACAAGACTGGGCAAGGGTAGAGGAAATAGAATAGAAAACAGAGATGGTAAGGAAGCATAAGGACAAATCAAACAGAACCCCTTCCCTCAAGCTTAAACTCCAAATTTAATTCTAAAAGATACAAGATTTAAGGCAAAGAAACTAATCTATGATAGTGAATATTAAAGCAACAAGAAATGAGTGAGAAAAGGTGTGTTTATCAATGCCTCTGAAGTTATACAATGCATAAACTATGAATAAAAGACTGACTATAGTTTCTGGAATAATAGTATGATAATAATAATAATAATAATAATACATGCATACCATTTAAATATATTAACTCACCTAATCCTCTCAATAATGCTATCTGGAAAACTGTACAATTATCCTCATTTTACAGGTGAAGAAGCAGGAGGTTAAGTAACTTACCTCAGATTGCATAACTAGTAAGAATTGAAGCTGGAATTCAAACCCAGGTAGGCCTGCAGTTCTAGGGTCTGGGTTCTGCACTCAACTACACTGTGCTTCAAAGCCAAAGAACGTGTGGAGGAAGGTCTCAGTTAAGTAAATAACATTTATTGAACTTTTATTTTTATTGGGTTCTTACAATGTATATTACATTTTATTGGGTTCCTAATGTGTAGTTATAGGTTATTTTTTTCCTTAAAATTATCCCATTTTATACTTAAATCTGAGGCTCAGTCTATCTATGTAGTGGTAGAAAAATAGTGGGTAGAAAAGAGTGACCAAATTTTCTAGAGAAGATGATACTAGACTTAGGTATTAAAGAAAGAATGAAAGAAAAATATCTTCCAAACATCTATGCAAAATATCTGCCAACCTCTGTGCAAAATATCTTACAAATTTCTGTGCACATCCAAATCCTATCTAGCTTTCCAATTCCAATATAGAAACTGGCCTCTATAAAGGCGCCTCTGATTTTTCCCAGTCCAAAAATAACTGTTTTCCCTCCCAATTTCCTCAACAATATATCTCTTCGAGCATATTTTGTGTCGTGTCTGACATGTACTTATAGATAGCTGTTTCTCCTTTCAGATAGCATCCACGTCTGATTTATGTTATGTATTCCTTTTGTTGCCAATGGGATGAAGGATAGATGGGTATAAGAATGAATGGATGATTAGAAAGATAAAAGGATGGATGAATGAACGAATGAATGAATGAATAAATAATGTGCCTTTGAACTAATTGACACCCGTTAGCATGTTTTCAACATTCCTAAGGGAATGTTTTCTGTAAAAATGTTTTTCTGATGTGCTATGATAAATTAACAGGAAATTACTAAAACATATAGAATTGTTCAGGTGGGAGGGATATACAGTATTGTTTGGCCTGGTTGCCTATCTTTCCACAATAGCTACCTAATAATTATCCCCTTCCATCTTGAAATTGTCATTACTATTCCAATAATATGTTTCTTTTATTCTTTTTATGTGCATCTAGTTGAGTATACATATGTAAGGCACTATTTTACTAAATTGCTAGGTCTTTCTATTTCTAAACAAAGCCTCTCCTATCAAAATATAAGCTTATTTCTTCTTAATTTCTAAATGCAGAGACCACCTCAGATACTTAAAAAAGGTAAATGAGTTACCCAAGGCTGTTGCTCAATTTTCAGCACCCAATGCAAAATGAAAATGCATGTCTCTTGTCAAAAATTATTAAGAATTTCGGGGCCGGCTGAGTGGCTCAGTTGGTTAAAAGCTCGCTCAAGAGTTTGAGCTCTGAGCAACAGCGGTTCGAGTCAGCCCGAGCTGAGCAGCCGTNAAAAAAAAAAAAAAAAAAAAAAAAATTATTAAGAATTTCAAGATGGTGACAGTAGAGCACTAAAGCAAGCACAGGGCTCTTCTAAGCACAGAAGACTGAGTGAAGACATGGGTTACACACCTCTTATGAAGTGGGCCCTGAAGTTACCCTAAGCCTTTTCATCTGTAGCCTCAACAAGTAGCTCTTTAGCATGCAGGCAGACTGAAAGACCTATCTCCTCCACTTTTTAGTAAAAAGAAAAAATTTGATAATAACCACAAAGTGTCACTGAACATACACATTGGGGGCAGTTAGGTTTTAGATATTCATATATATATTATAGATATAGATATAGATGACATAGATATAGATATGGATATGAATATAGACATACATAGATATAGATATATAAATATCTATATCTATATAAGTATGTATCTACATATCTATATCTATCTATCTATCTATATATATATATATACACATACACACAAATATATATAAAAATTTATCCTGGTGATTGAGATATTGGGACTTTATTGAAGCACAATTTAATACAGATAAGTGTATATGTTACAGGTGTACAGCTTGATGAATTTTCATAAATACTCACCAGAAGAAAAGAAACACAAAATTATCCAGGTCCAGGATCTCCCTCTTATGTCCTCTTTGGTTATACTCTACAACCCAAGTTAAGTATTATCCTGACTTCTGACAGGTGAATATTTGTTTTGTATGTTTTTATATAAATGTAATAATGCAGCATATACTCTTTTATGTCCAGCTTTTTTTTTCTCAAAGTAATGTTAGTGAGAATCATCCATGTTGTTGTACTCAGTTGTGGTTCACTAAATCTCATTGCTTTACAGAATTGCATTGAGTGAATATACCATAATTTTTAAATCTATTCCATTTCTGGACAGTTTTCACTACTGGGGTATTACAAATAGTGCTGCTGTGAACATTCTAGTAAATTTTTTTTTGTGAGCATATGTAGGAATCTGTTTCTACTTGGGATATGCCTAGGACTGGCATTGCTAAGTTATGGACATGCATACGTTAAGCTTTAATGGATGCTATCAAGCAGTTTTTCAAATTAACACTCACCAGCAGTGTATGAGAGCTCTGATTGCTCTACATCTTTGCCAACACTAGATATTAAATAAAGCCTTTCTTATTTTAGCCATTCTTGTGTGTGTAGTGGTAATATATGGAGGTTTTAATGTTTATTTCCCTGATGACTAATGAAATTGAACACTTTTCTACATGTTTATTGGACTTTTTGGATATCCTTTTTGTGGAGTGTCTGTAGAAGTCTTTTGACCATTCTTCTGTTGGATTGCCTATTTTTAAAAATATATTGATAGCAATTCTTTATATATTCTGGATATGGGTCTTTTGCTGGTATATGTATTAAGTATATCTTCTCTCTCTCTCTCTCTGTGGGTTGCCTTTTCATTCTTTTAATGGTATTTTTTGATGAACACTGGTTCATATTTTTAAAACACATCCTTAGTGGAACATTATAGGAAAAAAGAACCTGAAAGGACAAGAAGACTGTGAAAAATATGCGTCAGCATTTGTACAGTAATACTAAATTGATAATGTTAAAGCTTTAAAGTAATGGAAATGTATAGTCAAACAGCAAGAATAACAGTAATGATATATTAAAAGCAAGATCAAATATTTATCCATGGAAATTGTGGGAACTCTAATTATCTGTGTGTGTATGCACAGTAGGAGCTTTGTGATATTGCCAAATGTTGTGCGGCAGCCAGACTTCCTAGCAGAATACTAAACGTTCACTAAATTCTAATAACACACTAATTTTAATTCACAAATACTTGAGTTTTAATAACACTTCGTAATTAAATGGGTTATTGGTATTTAGTATTTAGACCTTTTTCACACTTAAAATAAGAGTCTCTAGCACAGGTCTGATTAATTCTCAATAATGAGTAATAAATGCAAATTATTTTCTGACTTTTATTTGTATCCAAATTTGCCAGTGGTCAACTATAACTTTCAGACTTTTTCCTTCTATAAAAACTTGTGTTAACTAGTCTTTCCCAAATATATTTGTATTATTGTTTTTTTGCTCCTTAACATAACACAAAATCATTTGTGATACACACCTTTCATATACATTTATATTTTGTCATCAGAGGGTATAAAATTGTTCTCTGCCTATTTACATTCATTCGTTCATTCTTCATCCATTCATTCATTTACATACTTAGCAAATATTAACTGTGCATCCGCTAGACACCAGGAAAACAGCACCAGACAAAAATTTCTGCCTACATGAAGCTTACATTCCCATGGAGGAGACAAATAATTATAATAAGCAAGATATATTTAAAAAAATACATAAAATGTCAGATGATAAGAAATGCCATGGAGCAAAATAATGTGTGGAATGTGGATGGGAAGTAGGGGTCATTTGCAATTCTAATTATTGTGGTCAGGAAAGGCCTCACTGAGAAGGTAATATTTGAGCAGAGACCTGAATAGGTGAAGAAGGAGCAGTGGCTATGTGAGGAAGAGCACCCTGGGAGGGGGAACAGAGAGTGCACAGGTCCAGAGGAAGGGGAGCATTGGATGGAGCTGACTTCAAAGTCATTTTTGGTTTTGTTTTTTTTAAAGATTTTATTGGGGAATTGGGGGAGGGAAACAGTGTAACAGCGTTGGGGAATTGGGGAAGGGGAACAGACAAGTTGCTGTCCTTTTGTTCTTCAGCCCTGTTGTGGAGGACTTCGCTTCACTAGCCCATGTTGGTATTATCATTGTGCTTTTCCCGGGTGAGGCAGTCACTCGCTGCCATTGGACAGCGGCTCATGGCAGCTCACAAAAGTGCACGCTAGCTGCCGGCCAGCTCCACTGCAGCCTACACCATCACTGGTGACTCATGGCAGCCCAGCTCCAGGTTGAGCTGTTGTTCACCATCTTAGATGTAGAGGGCGCAGCATCACTGGCCCTCATGTGGGATCCAAACTGGGGCCCTGCTGCTCAGAGCTGGTGTTCCAAGCCAACTCCTAACCAATGCACCACTCAGCTGGCCCCAAAGTTGTTGTTTTTAATGACTTCAATTTGACACTTACTGAGATTACAAGTAACCTTTTAATCAAATTCACAGTTTGGCAATTAGCAGGTTTGACCCAGAAACTTTAATTGGAAATAAATCTGAAACAAAGCTATTTACCTCAGAAACATATTGTGTAGCTCTGATAATTAGAAATTAGAAACACTACATCCATCAGATGCTAAAAGAGTTCTATGGTGATGCTGAGGAAATTTGACATCACAGGAAAAGTTGTGACCTATAATTTTTATGATCAGGAAGGAGAAATGCATTATTTCTACTTTTCACTCCCCCTCCAAAAAAAATGGGGGTTACTTTATTTCTTGGGCATTGCATTATTTATAGATTAAAATTAAGAAAGAGTAATTTTATCAAAGTCTGTTAGGAATTCAGTGTGTTAGTATTCCAAAGCTCACAAAGAATGAGGCAAGAGCCACATGCTGATGGTCGTGACCCAACCAGAGATAGATGGGTGATTACCAGGCACATTAGAGCCCAGTGTTCTTCTCACATCTATTCCACATCTTTATTATTTTGATAAATGGGTAAATTCTTATCAACAACAACAAAAATGGTATTCTTCAATTGATAGAATTGAGTGTGTTAATAAAT